GCGACGGGTTCGACGAGAACGATGACCGGGTACCTAATAGGTAAATATCATCTCTACGTATATAAGTCGACGTGTATATGTTCCCTATCGACTTCGAAATTCCAGGTACGATTTCAATGAAATATCCAGGTTATCTTCAAATTGTCCTAGCTGGTGATCCTGTGAAACTTGGTAGTGATAAGATCGAAGTCTGATCAAATATCGGCCAGCAAAGCGAGCTAGGTTTGACTATTTAAATTATACCTATTATTGATCTATTAAACATATTTTGTACCCTTTTTATGATTGAAGGATTACTGGTGGCCCGAAGGCCTTTCCAGTTTTACCAGGGCAGGTGGGCGAGCAAGGGCTCAGTCAGGGGTGGGATGAGCTAACAGCTGCCCGAGAGCCTCTGAAGGATACCTAACAACTCAAGAATAGCTGCTTCGCGAATGAATCTACTACCGGATCGGAATCGCGACCCGCTGAGAAGATCTAGGGAGAAACTCAGTTGTGTTTTGTACCCAATTGGTATCCCGGGTATGCAAATCCGTAACGTGACAAAATTGAAGTTTTCTGATTCACATCTTAATCATCGAATTCCTAATTACTGGTGTCAGGGCGTGTGATGAGCCCGCGCGGGTAGGTTCCACCACCCCGTCTTTTTCTACCGTGAAGCAGTAACGCATTCCTGCTTGAAGGGCGTGACAGTTTTTGTAATATAGAACTACTTCAAGCTTAATGTCTATAGGCTCCGGTGACCACTTAACACCAGCTCTTCCACCCATCTAAGCAATAAAAATGAAATCCGAATTTATTTTACGATTTCATACATTTGGCATACTTGATGCGTACTCAATGGTAGGCAGCGGCTTAGGCTTGCCCGCTGGCATTGCTGTCATCAATTAGCGACGGTAATCACTCACCATCAGGTGGGCCGTATGTATGCTCATCAGGTGGGCCGTATGTATGCTCATCTGCCTACGCGGGTAACAAAAATAAAAACTTAACAGTTATCACTCAAGAACGACCATGAATACAAAACGAGATTAAAAAGTATCCACTGTGTTTCATATGAAAGTTAATTTGCTTTTTAGCCTATTATGAAACAAAGGAAAATACACAATTATTACTAAGCATAAATTACATAAGATAAATTTGTGACGTTACATTTTACCGGGAAAGTTTTTAGATGGCGGCATTTCGTACGTTGACGTTTATTTTTTTTTGTGTTCAACAAGGCGATGGTATCTCTTCATATGCAGCCTCAAACACGTCAAAATCTGTTATTATTTAACATAATTAAGAAACCGTGAAGAGAGTTTCATCGAATTTTTTTTTAGAATATTTCATTAGGCTTGAGCGTGATTAAAAACTGGACACGTCCCAGTATATTATTCATTTTACAACAATTGTACTGTAACTTAAAAAAGGAGCATCAATTTTTTTTTTAAATATGAACTTTGACCACAAGTTCGTCTCTGATAGCGCCTCTTTCATTATTACGTTCCCAAACTTTCTTGAACACACTGTACCGTATTATACTTGCTATGTAATTAAAATAATTATTGCTAATTATTCAATTAGTCGCGGTAAGGTCCTAACGTGACTTTCCTCAAAGGACTATTCTGGCTTCACGCTGACAGATGGGCGAGCTCATAGGGCTCAGTCTGAGAGAAATTCCTAACACTAGCCCTAGCTAGAGCAGTGCTTCGCTGAATATACCACCGGATCGGAATTACGACACACTGAGAAGATACGGCGAGAAACTCAGTGAGTTGTGTCTGTGGGCATATCTTTTCTTTTATTGCTTAGATGGGTGGACGAGCTTAAAGCCCACCTGGTGTTAAGTGGTTACTGGTGCCCATAAACATCTACAACGTAAATGCGCCACCAACCTTGAGATATAAGTCCTAAGGTCTCAGTATAGATACAACGGCTGCCCCACCGAAATAGGCGGGGTTGTGGTACCTACCCGTGCGGACTCACAAGAGGTCATACCACCAGTAATTACAAAAATTATAATTTTGCGGGTTTGTTTTTTATTACACGATGTTATTCCTCCTTCAGCGTGGAAGTCAATCGTGAACGTTTGCTAAGTACGTATTTCATTAGAAAAATTAGTACCCGCCTGCGGGATTCGAACACCGGTGCATCGCTACATACGAATGCACCGGACGTCTTATCCTTTAGGCCACGATGACTTCTAATATCTCCGGTAATGACACAGCAGCCGGTCATCTGTTCAACTATACCATAAAAAAAAGACTCTAACTTTTAAATATTAAACTCTAAATTAATTATGCAAGCCGTCTGTATCTAGAGTGTGACGGCGAAAAGATGTTAAAACCAAATTTCACTTCGGTAATGCTTCTTGAGCACGGAGTCGCGAATTCGAAGCCGGACGCGTTCCATTGCGGTTTTTTATGACCCACGCTTCTGGACGAAGTACTGAAAGGGAACTGTGAGCGCTCATGAGTTTATCCAACGGTGCTTTTAGGTACCCCAAGCATCGGTCATCGTTCTCGCGACGCTTGCGACGAAGGGCTCGGCGAGTAAATTAACCCATAGGCACAGCGCACTGAGTTTTTTTGCCCGATCTTCTCGGTGCGTCGGGTTTCCGATCCGGTGGTACAATCAGCGAAGCACTGCCCTTACTAGGGTCAGTGTTAGCATCACTCCGGTTCGAGCCCCGTGAGCTCACCTACTAGTTAAGGTTACGCTGAAATAGTCTCTCAAGGCTCTCAGATAAAGTAGGAAAAAAAATACAAGACCGTTTATTGTATAAAACTTGTTGTATTAATGTATACTAGAGGTCCCGCAGTAGTCGAAATTCGACTATAATTAATTGGAATTGTAAGTTTGTACACTATTATGATTGTATTTTATACTTCTATAATCACAAATTTCGCCAAGACTACACTATAAAAAATATGAACAAAGACAAACAATATTTAATCTATTCTCAATTTGACAACAGACGTCAAGAACAAAAGATTCACAGTAAATAAATAGTATGCGTGTGTGCGTCAAATACATGGTATGTAGTGTGTGTAATGTTTTCTTTATTGATTTAATGTATCTTTTATGCATTATTTAAAAAAAATATTAGCATTGTGCACTTCTTCTCTATATTCTGTATAAGTGTGGAAAATTTCATACTCCTCCGTCCGCGCAATTTTCGTAAAAAGGGATATAAAGTTTTTGCTTCACGTATTAATATGTAAATTGGGATTACCTAATGTGCCATCGACAGCCCAAAAATTCCAAGGCTGAGGTAGCATCGCTGCAATATACCTTTTTTCGTACCTATTTAATATATCAACCCCCGGGGTTATGCTAGACTCCAAGGAGTAGGTTTTTTTTATTGCTTAGATGGGTGGACGGGCTCACAGCCCACCTGGTGTTAAGTGGTTAGCGGGGCCCGTAGACATCTACAACGTAAATTCGCCATCCACCTTGAGATATAAGTTCTAAGGTCTCAGTATAGTTACAACGGCTACCCCGCCCTTTAAACCGAAACGCATTACTGCTTCACTGCAGAAATAGGCAGGGCGGTGGTACCTTCCCGCGCGGACTCACAAGAGGTCCTACCAGTAATTTAATCTTCTATCTATCGTTAAAGTTCGTTTTGAAGGGATACGTCGTAGCCTACTGGTGTTTATTCACCCTCGTTGGAGGTATATATGCCAGTTTAAATTTTAAACAGTCACATTAATAGTAGTATTTAATTTTAGTGATTGCTCTCGTTGCGATCTGCAGAATTTATACGGAACATAAAAAAAAATCAACAATCCAACAGTCTCTGGAACGTTGCGTTACTTTGCCTTTAACCTATACTAATATTATAAAGAGGAAAGATTTGTTTGTTTGTTTGTATTGAATAGGTTCCGAAACTACTGAACCAATTTGAAAAATTCTTTCACTGTTTGGAAGCTACACTATTCCCGAGTGACATAGGCTATAAACCTTTTTTGAAAAAAATTAGGTATCCTTACTAAAACTCCAATAATGTAACCAAAGGTGTCAAAAAAAAACCTAAAATATTCTTTACATCGCGTGCCCTGCGAAAACTATTGATGATAGAATAAAATAATGTACTACGACTTTGTAGAACACATTATTATTTACAAAAAGTGTCGGTACAGCATATGTCTAACTATTATAGTTATGTCGCAATAAGTGTTATTTTATTTAAAAAAATAAAACAACGTCAAATATCGTTGAAATTTTTCTTAAAGACCCGAGCGGAGCCGGAGCGGGCCGCTTGTTATTACAATAAGTGTGTATTAAAATACCCTTATAGTACACAGGGAATCCTTTTTTTGAGTCAGACCACGTTGTGCAATTTATCATTTAATTAAACATCAATTTCAACGGAAATCATTTATTTCAATCTTCGCTATTCAAAGGGACGAATAGAGTGAATATTTTCAAGTTCTTTGGCTGGACATCGTCCTAGAATTAAATCTTGTTTTAATCAATACTATTTTATAACAATAATCTACTAGTGCAACTACTTGGCTATATCAGCTATATCGGTTATATCAGCTTCGCCCAAAAATGTAGGTGAGCTCACGGGACTCAAGCCGGAGTGTTGCTAACACTGGCCCTAGCAAGAGCAGTGCTTCGCAGAATCTACCACCGGATCGGGAACGCGACCCACTGAGAGGATCCGCTGAGAAACTCAGTGGGCTCTATCTATGGGTTAATTCACTCGTCGAGCCCTTCGTCGCAAGCGACGGGTTCGACGAGGACCGTGACCGGTACTTGTGGTACCTAAAAGCACCGTTAATTGATCGAGGTTTGAGCCCCGTGAGCTCACCTACACGTCCAGGCGAAGCTGAAATAGCCTCTCAAGGCTATCAACATAGATAGGTATAAAAAAAAGGTTTCCAGACAATAGCAAAGTTTGTTTTCAAGGACAGCTTTTGCTTTCCGTCGCAACTTTTACGTTATCGAAAACGTTAAAAAACTCGCACTAACCACCACACAGGTCTGAAAGAAAAACGTGCACTCACCGGTGTCCTTCTGTGTAGTAATGTGCCGACGGGGCTCGGGATCTTGGTCGGTGTGTCGCCGTGCGGACTCCGAGCTGCAGAATAAAACACAAAGGATCAAAGTCACGATAATTTCACCACAATGGCAGGCTACCAATTGATTAGGCGATAACGATGATATCCTCGCTCGACTTTAGCTTCAAATAGCATTAAAACAATAATTTTCTTGCCGAAACTAGCATATTGTGTCGGTAGTTTAAGTTTTTAAAGTCGTCGTGGCCTAAAGGATAAGACGCTCGGTGCATTCATATCTAGCGATGCAACGGTGTTCGAATCCCACAGGCGGGTACCAATTTTTCGAATGCAATACGTTCTTAACAAATGTTCACGATTGACTTCTGCGGTGAAGGAATAATATCGTGTAATAAAAACCAAACCCGCAAAATTATAATTTGCGTAATTACTGATTGTAGGACATCTTGTGAGTCCGCGCGGGTAGGTAAGCCGTTGTACTATACAGAGACCTTAGAACCCATATCTCAAGGTATTTACGTTGTAGATGTCTATAGACTCCGGTAACCACTTAACAACCAGGTGGGCCGTGAGCTCGTCCACTCATTTAAGCAATAAAAAAGTTTTTGACAGACAATAACAATCAGGTACCATCTCAGCACAGTCTCATACCGGCATATAACACAAACCACCACCAAGAACTTTCTAGACGCATCATAATTTTCGAGACGAGATAATTTAGAGCCTCAAACTCGCGTCTCCGTATTGGTTAGAACAACCGAATACTACATAAATAGACTGCAGAACGGATTCAGTCGTGTTTAAGAGTTGGCCTTAAAACGCAAATTACATTATGTGTGTTTGTTTAGAATGCCGGTTACGATCCGACATTTCCATAGGGCCGTGAAAATATTCTTGTCTCGGTATCGAGTGACGTAACGACCACAGTGTACGGATAAACGAAACGATCAACTGTAAGAGTTTAAATTCCTAGGCTTTTTTTCTGATAGCCTTGAGAGGCTATATCAGCGTAACCTTAACTAGTAGGTGAGCTCAGGGGGCTCAAACCTGACGACGTTGGTAACACGAACCCTAGCAAAAGCCGTGCCTCGCAGAATCTACCACCGGATCAGAAACGCGACCCACTGAGAAGATCCGGCGAGAAACTCAGTGGGCTGTTCCTAGGCATCATCATCATAGTCAATTACTCTTCGCATAGTAATTGTGGTCATTTTTTTTTTATTACCCTTATAGGCAGACGAGCATACGGCCCACCTGATGGTGAGTGGTTACCGTCGCCCACGGACTTCAGCAATGCCAGGGGCAGAGCGAAGCCGCTGCCTACCGCTAGCCAAGCCGCTGCCTACCGCTGCCAAGCCGCTGCCTACCGCTCATGTTTATTTTAAATAGCCTTGACAGCTGTTCTCAGCTTCAATAAAATGTTTTGTTTCATAGAAGGGGTGCATAATTTAAAAACAATCGTATATAAGAAACGTATTTAACAAGATTATATTACTGAACGTTTTTTATACTGCGCACAAAGTTTACAAAAGCACCAAATCATAGATCCGTTTGATGTTCTTTACTACGCTAATTAACATAATTAACAATTGTAATGTATTTAGTCATCTACTCCAAAAGTACGCACAGTATATTTACCCAGTTTTAGTTAACTATCGGTGTCGAGATCCAGAAGAGTTTTTTTACAAGTACCTATGCTATTTTACTGAGATGGGTGGACGAGCTCACAGCCCACCTGGTATTCAGTGGTTACTGGAGCCTATAGACATCTACAACGTAAATGCCTCCACCTACTTTCGAGATAATAGTTCTAAGGTCAGTTTTTACATTACAACGGCTGCCCCGCCCTTCAAACCGAAACGCGTTACCGCTTCACGGCAGAAATAGGTAGGGCAATGGTACCTACCCGTGCGGCCTCACAACACATCCTAACACCATTAAATTAAAATATTTAAAAACTAAATATGTACTACATTTCGTAGCTTTCATTACATTATGGTGCCTAGCACTTCGTTGCATACGGGAGGCGAGTCTTCACAGGTCGGTTCAAATTAGGAGTGGGCGATATAAATCGTATCTAGATTCAATATCTATATATCGCAGCAATATCGTTGAATCCGATATCGCCCCGCACGAAATCTATATATCGATATCGGCCGATACACGATATTGCTCGATGTGATGCGCATCGGCATATCGTACCGATTCGTGAATCGAAATCTATATAACGATATCAGCCGATACACGATATTACTCGATGTGATGCGCATCGGCATATCGTACCGATTCGTGAATATCAGCAATATTCGTTTGGTTCGTATCGAATCGGCCAGAGTGAGTGAGCGCACGATAGGGATATCATGTGATGAATGAAACAGAAACAGGCATTATCCATACAATTGTAAACCTTATATTTAAGTCCATATGTCTGTAGATTATTCTTAGCGTATCAGCAGGATACAATTTAGGAAAGAAGTTTCAACTTTCGACCCTAACTTGAATGCAGTATAGCCTATTTGCATCGTTGAATTTAATTTCACGCGCTTTGACCTTGAACTAGAATTTTTGGACAAGTGTTTATAAATACTTAAAAGTTTTTTGTGTTTGATTTTTAAAGTACAC